CTTCCGATCTGTTGATGCTTTCTGTGGTCGTCTTTCTGGCGGTTTCAAATCGTTTTCTCTCAGATCAAGGCCAAGCGCGTAAGACAAATAGACATGAGGCTGGGAAACTTCGGACACTGGCCCTCTTCTGGTCAGGACTATATAGTCATAGGGTTCGGTGAGTCATTTGGGCATCTCGCAACCAGAGGATTAATCAGACTGTCCCCCATATGACCCTCGAGTCTTCAAGCTTCAAGGGTTCGACAAATACCCGGAGCAAAAACTGATAAAAGAGTGGCGATGCAGGCTCGCGTCAACAGTAAAGGAATGAGTGCATACATTTTCCCATACAGGCAGGAAGCCCCCAATGCATGCAACTACTGAAGAGCACGCAAAACAGCCTCTCAACTCATCATGCCCACAGATGAGCTTTTGCGCTGCCTCTCGCGACGATTACGCAGAAGGCATGGTGCGAGTTAACATTGCCAGGTTTGTCGTGTTTGGAAGACCAAAGTACATACATACCTGGACATGCCTACATACATACATATTGGAGCATCCTCCTTAAACATATACATATAAACACATAATTTCAACTATTCGTCTTTTGATATCTACATATGGTGAGAAATTTTCATAGATAAGCACATACAGACGTACATGCGTACATACTTACTTACTTCCTTACATGCGTATTTACATAAGCTTGCGTACAAACATGATCATATGCATACATACATAGATATAGACAGACATTGTTCTCTCTCTATACATAGATGTATATATACGATATATACACATAAAGATCTTCATATATATATATATATATATGTATACGCACACACACACACACACTGCTCCGATGTACATACATCCATATGTATTCATATAGATATACGCATATAGATGTAGATATACACACATGCATAGGTGCATGCATGAATACAGGCATACGTGTACAATACGTACATGCATACATACGTCCTACACACACATCGGCATATGCCTGTATGTGTGTGTGTGTGTGTATATATATATATATAGCTACAGGTACAGATACAGATGTACAACTCGGCGCATGTATATGTATGTATGTACACACACACACACACATCTTTGTACACATACTGCTTGTGCCGATGAGCGCGATTGTCTTGCTCGGACCTTTCACCATACAAAGCAGATACGATGCCTGTGCCACATGGGTGGTTGTCAAAATTATGGTCCCTTTTTGGGTACCTTACATATTAGTGCCGTATTATAATAAGGACCCAAAAAGGGACCCTGATTTTGACAACCACCCACATGGCTATATTGAGAATAAAGCTCATGTCATTGTGAGCAACATGACCGCTGGGGTTCTAGGTATGCAGTTTGTTAGTCAACAACTTTGTACCGCGCCCTGAACTATATTTAGTTGCGACCCAATCAATTCGAAACACCCCTGTGCCAAGTGGATGAGCGCAATTGCCTATGGCTAGATTCAAAATAAAGCTCATGTCATTCTAAACAACATTCCAGGCATGCAGTTTGTTATTCAACAACCTTGTACCCCGCCTTACACTACATTGTGTTGCGGCCCAATCAATTCGAAACACCCCTGTGCCCAGTGGATGAGCGCAATGGTCTTGTGTGCACCTTTCACCATACAAAGCAGATACGATGCCTGTGCCACATGGCCATATTGAAAGTGAAGCTCATGTCATGCAGTATATATATATATATATATACATATATATATATATATATATATACATATATATATATATATATATCTTGTTGCGACCCAATGAATTCCAAACACCCCTGCACCCCTACAGTAAGATCCTCAGCCCTCAAGCCATAAACCCCAACACTAAACTCACAAATTTCCTCAGCCCTACGCCAGGAGCCCGATACATGTAATCCCGCAGCAACTAACAACAGCAGCCGCTGCGCAACCTTCTGCTGCTCGGACCCGGCGATTCCGCGTGCCTGAAGATGAGGCCATCCCTCGACTTGGTCCGCGTGCCCCAAGACTTATAAGCTAAATCGTCAACGGCCTTGTAACAAGCCCCCTGTAAACTGTAGAAAGGCCCAGAAAGAAAGACGAACTCAAAACATCACAGACCCTAAAGGCGAACCCTAGTGAAGCCCTAACACTCACTAAAGCCACGCCTTGAGCACACTACGCGAACTCCAACCATGAGATCCTTCAACTTCACATCCCCAACCCCAGAGGCCCTAAAACCTTCACTCCGAATCCGATAAAACCAAAATCCCTTCATTTTTAAATAGCCGACTCAAAAAAGAGTACCTGAAGAAGCACTCCATCAGACCCTAAGCTTTGTAAAACTAATTACACACGATCAAGTCGTCTCATAACACTCATATGGAACCCTCGAGCACTCTCAGCAAAACCAACAGAGACAACAAAAAATGCCGAGCGCCCCGACGCTCTGCGCGCGCCGCTGGGCGGCGCTGCGCTCTGCTTCGGCTTCGGCCGTGAGCCGAAGGAGCCGCGATCTGGCCATCATCACCATCACCAACAATAACATCACTATCAACACAGCAGCATGGTCATCGTCTTCATCTTCGTACCGATACTCATGTTCACACTCATCTTCACCAACATCACCAGCAGTACGATCGTCGCCGCTATCATTGCCACTGTGTGAAGGGCGTAATTGGAGCCATCCTTATTCATGTTCCAAGATATTACTAAACACCACCATCATCATCGTCATCATCATGAACATCATCATCACCATCATCATAACTACCATTATCATTATCGGTGTCATTAGCATTACCAATATTTCATGGTCGCTAGTAGTAGGCTGGATAGTACGTCGCCTATCGGGATTAGTATCACTGTTTTAGTATTAGTACTTTACCTTGTACTAATATCTTTCTTAAGGATAGGGGTGCTTCCCAAGGAGGGCCTTCTGGCACTTGCGGGGAGCATTGGGAAACATACGAAATCATTCCAAATCATTCAATAGCCATCCAGCAACAATAAACATGCAGGAAATGCAAAAAATACATAATCATTCGGAAACATTCAGAAACATTCATGATAATACGCAAATGATCAGAAAAAATCAAAAATACGGAAAAATACAAATATCAGCCCCCCGCCATTCACAAAAATCACCAAAATCAAAACAAAAACACATCTGGTTTGAATTAAAAACGAACTTTATCGTATGATTTCGAGGGCTTGTATATGTTTCTGAAGGTTTTTGTATTTTCGTATGGTCCAACTACCAGAAGTACCCTTTTGAGAAAGCCCCTTAACCCTATAAATGATAATATTCGCACTAACTGTACTAGACGAGTCATGCCAGTACGAATACGAAACTTAAGACGACATATGAGTACATGGGTACATATATATATATATATACACACATGTATCTGTACATATTATGTACGTATGTATGTATGCATGTATGCATGTATGTATGGTTGTACGTATGTATGTATGTATCTATGTATGTATGTATGTATGTATGTAACGTATTAAAATTACGCTCAATGGCTGTTATTTCGAATATAGGTACCAAAATTAACAACATCATTGCTATGTGCAGAGAAGGTGTTACCAATGAGGGTTTAGCTAAACTTGAAGTGCTGAGCCCGTTCGGGGCAGTGTGGATCATGTAGGGTTTATAGGGTGGAGGACCGGCTTCTGAGCAGATTCTATAGGATTTAAGCCCAAGGCTCAAGGCGCAAGCATCCTTCCGTGGCCGATTCTAGCAGCTGCAGGGCAGTGTCGGTCAGGCAGGTGGAAGTTTCGGTCGCTCTCGTGCTTTAGGGATTTACATTTATACGGGGGTTAGGAAGTGTAGTGCTTAGGGACAGATTGCAATGGTTTCAGGCTTGCCTTGCAGAGGCGTGGTCTCCGACAACCACATGGGGGAACATGAAAGTAAACCAGCAGACCAAACCCGTAACAGAATGACGCTACATGCAGCTACAAGGCTCTGTGACTCTGTGCTTCATGCTTCAGCCCTTCATGAACTTCGATGCCCTCTTAATTGCTGCCAGCGAGCTCTTCTGCTCGCAGGGCCCTCTCAGCCGCCTGACAGCAGCATTCCAAGCTTCTCTGCGTTTGAGGAAGCTGTCGTGTGAGGAGATCGCTTTAACCTTGAAGTAGAAGCAGCCGAAGAGGCCGGCAGCATAGAATTGTTGATCCGAGGAGTTAGGATTTTGGGAAGCTCCATCTTCTTGGGGAGAACAAAGGCAAGATACGACAGTTTTCGACTTGCATGGGCCGACCGTGATATGCACACACGGCGTGGCACTGAACTTTCATGGCCACGGCCTTCTGTGCAGCCCTCAACAACGGCTCGCAGTGACACCGCTTACACCTCTGGTTCCTCCAGTTCGCTGGCTGCAGTGCAGCATCTGCTGCACAAGGACTTACATTGCAGGGTTGAGTTTATGTCACTGGACCAATCGGAAGCACATTGTAGTGACGATCACTGCTATTAAAGCTGTTCAGCATCTCGTCGATGCTGATCTGAGTTGTCCTTTAAGCCCCTTGAAAATTATTTGCTATTATGGTTCGCTCCAAAATAGTAGGGGGAAATTGAAAAAGATCCCAAAGGACAACCCAGTGATGGTAAGCAGGACCATCTTTTGCAAGAGCGCATGACACATGCCGCCTCCCTGTGGCAAACAGCAAGAATGTACACAATGACACATACTTGCGTGCCACCGGACAGAAGGAAGCAAACGCGATTTAAGCGCTCTCGCCTGGGGTGGAGTATCAGGCTTGCACAGCATACCCAAAGGGTCCAAGTACCATTATAGTAGGTACTTAGTAGGTATTTAAGGCCCGCCCCAACGTATAAACTATACTAATACCTGGGCCCTTTGGGATAGCAGTCCTTGTCGACAGCACCTACGGTGCCCCGACCTGGATTGGCGCCTGCACAGCGCCTTAAACTAATGCACGGAACTTGGAACCGGTCAGCTACTGACCCTTCAGTCCACAAAAAAACTGCAGCCGGGAGTGATGGGTTGGCCTTTGTTCACTCCTTGTCGACAGGACGCCTTGGTGCTCCAACCTGTATAGGTGGCAGTGGCGCCGTGGAAAGCCTAAGACTGGAGGACAGAGCGGGACGAATTGAAAATCTTGCAGCG